AAATATATGATTTTTATGTAGCCGTTTTTATTTAAGAAACTAGCAGATCTCATTCATTATGGGTTTTACATGCTAAGCACATGGAGTAATCATCAAAGCTGTCAAGTAAACCGTGCTCTCTGTCAGAGTGTATATAGATTTGTTGTCTCACCAAGCCTTTTCTTTGTCACTATTTAAGCAGCCAGAGTAGCACAACCACCTGTTAGGGGCAGAAATGGCTGCTGGGACACTTTGATTCTTTTGTGGATCACCTGGGGAAAGCTATTAGTTCTTTCCCAAGCAATTCTCCTTTGGCTTCGTTTTCTGTAAACTGAGTCTTTGTTGTCTGAATGGAGACAATGGAGGAGTCTATAGTGGCAATAGATTCAAAAACCACATGTTTTTACAAAAGAACATTAATGTCTCCTCTTTTTCCCTTTTAAAGCATTAACTTCAGTTCAAAGCATTCTTCAAGGTCATTTTTTAAAAGTTATCACTGAAGCACACACAGGCAGTCTCTGCGTTACCAACATTCAATTTATGTTTATAACCCAGAGTTACAAACCCACCCATGTAAATAAACCCTTAAAGTCTGTATGAAAATTTTGAGGTACACAAGGGTTTGTAATAACTAATAGGTGCTCTTCTGTATGTGCATACGTTAAAGATTTTTTTTTAGTGTATCTAGAAGTGTTTAATGATTTTTATATATAGCTGTTGTTAAGTGCTGTCATTTCCAAGTAAGGTTTCTAAGGAGTAACTGGTGAGTTTGAATCGCCAACATTGTGGTTCAGACTAACCTTGCGGTTCAGCACTTTATCTCAAGGCTCCACACCAGGACTCCTTCATACATAGAAACATCAAATGTTTGTCTTGTCCCTTTATACAGATACACCAAGACAAACAGTTCACTGATGTTTGATACGAGCTGTACCTAACTGTCCCAAACTTAACTTGAAGACCAATTAAGAATGGAACTCATCCATAATGCGGGACTGCCTGTTCATTTAGCTTAAGGATGACTATGGTACTGTATAAGCATAGCTCACAGATAAGCTGTTGTGTGTTTTCAGGGGTCACGTGGGGTGGGGTGGGCCATACTGCTCTGCCCCTAAGAGCAGAGCTCTTACTGAGCAACAGCAGGAACTGCAGATGACTTTTTTCCAAGAGCGCTGGTCAGTCTTTCCTGTCAGAAGTGAACTACCAAAATGTCTACAGGTGGGACATTTAACACTTAATTGCAGTCACCTAAATGTGGCAAACCAGCCATACTTTAGAATGAAGGGGAGGATTGGTAACTTTCATGAGCCTAGAGCAAAAAGCGGTGGCCAGGAGGGTCCTCTGGTAGTGTAGTGGTTACAAACAGGGCTGCTAATCTCAGTCAGCAGTTGGGAACTACTAGCTGTTCCACGGGAGATAGATGAGGCTTTCTGCTCCATAAAGTTTACAGCCTCGGAAACCCTGTACAGGGTCAAACTGAGTTGGAACCGACTCCACGGCACATAACAGGAGGTTCCTAGAGTTTGCACCCAACTCAGTGCTTACTTTGTTGTTAAGTGCCTTCAAGTCCTTTCAGACTCAGTGACCCCTGTACAGGGTTTCTAAGGAGCAGCTGGTGATTACACCGCCGACCTGGCAGTCCAGTGTATTACCCACAGCGTCACACCAGAAGGCTAAAATTAAAAGACAGTAGTAGTTCACTTCTTAAGGTTCCACCCAGCCCTAGGAATTTATGAATGTAGACCTCTGCTGAAAATGCTCTATTTTAGTAGGAAGATCTCTGTGGCTTCAAGGATTTCCCTTTGCAAGAACTGTTCAACTTCAGTCAGTTTTACTGATCTTTGCAATTTGCTAAACAGCCTCTATGCTGAGGGAAGCAAGATAAATCCACCCACTGGACATGGGAGACTGCAGTTCTTCAAAGGCTTTTGTTGAGCCAAAGCATGTAGGGTCAGCAAATGGGAGGAGCCTGCGCCAGCCTAGCCTTGTTTTAGGATTTACTCAAATGTAGTTCGCAAGCATTGGGGATTAGGGACTTGTGGGCAAATGGACCCCCGCAGGACTGAAATAATTTTTATTCTCTCTTATCTCATGCAATGCACACATTCTGAATTAGTGGACTGAATAAGAGATGGAGGAAAATTGGTCGGGTCATCTTGCTCACAGATAGAAAGCAAATTCTTTTGCAACTGCAACTTTATTCTTTCTCGAAGAAATATCCTGCTGACACCTATAGCTGGGCTTCCAAATTTTGAAGGCTTGTTTTCTAAATGTGAGCAGTTCCTAAAAGATCTTGTCCCTTAAGGCAGCTGCTTTCAGGAGCCAGTGTGCTTAGTACCTGGTCTTCATCCACCTCCAACAGAGTCCCGGCTGTCCAAGCTCTAAAGGGCCTCTGCTCTTAAGTCCTGGCTGCATATCAAAACCCTAAAGATCACTTCCATTATTGAAACTACCATCACAAAATAGTAGTAAACATTTTCAGATAACAATGCTAGAAGATGAGCCCCTCAGGTTGGCAGGCACTCAAAATGTCTGGGGAAGATCTGCCTCAAACAGGAGTTGGCCACAATGACATGAATGGAGCACAACTTTTGGGACCTTCATTTGCTAATGGGGCACAACTCAAAATTAGAAAAAGTAGCTGGAAACATCCATTAGTAATCACAACATGGAATGTATGAAAAACATTAAAAGAACCATGGACTGCCAAATGAAAAAACAAATCTTTATCTTTGAAGAAGGGCAGCCAGATTGCTCCTCAAAAGCCAGGACAGCGAGATTTCATCTCAAGTACTTTGAACATGTCAGGAGGGACCAGTCCCTGGAGAAGGACATTATCTTTGATAGAGTGGAGGGCCAATGAAAATGAAGAAGTCCCCCCCACCTCCCATGAGATAGACTGACACAGTTGTAGCAGTTCACTGGGGTCAAACACAACTGTGAGGATGACGCCGAAGCAGGCAGTGTTCTGTTGTGCACAGGACCACTAGGAGTTGGAACCGACTTGACAGCACCTAACATCAATTTTCAAGTTTATAATCTTGGAAAAATTGCCTTATTTAGAAATGTGGTGTTTTCAGACCTTCACTTTATATAATTTTAAAAATATAAAAGCAACGACAAAATGAGAAAAACTAGCCTTCACTGTTTTATGCCCAATTCCACAAGATACTTTTACAAAACATTAAGGATATTTTAGGAACCCTAGTGGCAAAGTAAGTTACGTGTTGAGCTGCTAACTACAAGGTCAGCAGTTTGTATCCACCAGCTGCTGTGGGGAGAAAGATGAGGCTTGAGTAAAAAAGAAGATAATAACTACTGTAGGAGTACAGGACCAGCTCACAGTGCATCAAACCAAACCTACAGACAGGTAGGTTATGACTGGGGAAGCTTTCAGGAGCCACCTAAGGAGGAGGAGGAACTCTGAACTGTTGACCTCCAAGCTTCCTAGGAGTATTGAATGCAAGCTGACTGCTTGTTCCTGCCATGTTGGGGGTTGGTGGCCTCAGGGCTGTTTTCACAAGCTGAGCTCTGTGTGCTAAGGAGTACCTAACTCCCCTCTAGAACTCCAAGTGCTAAAGTCAGTGGGAAAGACCACAATCACAGTTCTTGATAGCCATCAACAGTAAGGCCTTGGAGACTCACTCCCCCTTCCCATGGGGGAGAGGGATAAACCTGGCTACACAAACTTTGCAGGATGGCCTTGGAAACAGTTGCTTCTGCTTTAAACTCAGTCCCACAGCCTCAGTTATCAAGTGCTGGCGCAACTCTTTCTCCCAGAGGCCTGCGTTAGCTTCCAGGGGATACTAGGATTGTGCTTTCCCTGCAGAGGGACTGCCTCCAGCCTGGCCTGGGTTCCCAGTGGCTACAGGGGCCAGAGGAGTGAACTGCCCTCAGCACTATTCATCACCATGGATTGTGAAATCCACTGGGGTCTGTGGCCAAAGTAAAATTTTAAAGAAAGAGAAAAATCTTTGCATACATCACGGATATTGATAAACCTCTGTCCATTAAAAAGAAAACCAGGACTCCTTGAAATGGCTGGAGTTCAGGACTGAAGTAGGACAAGT